CTAAATACAATTACACTGTAACAAGGACACCTTAAAATAAAGTGTAACCAAAATCTACAACATGTCTATATTTAAAAAAAAATATTGTGGGCTTATAGAGGAATATTTAAACAAAAGAACAATTGCTTGTCGAACCATGAAACTGAAATGAAATTGCATTTATAATAGTAATAATAATAGTAATAATATAAAAATGTAACTGCTTGCCCTAGTCTCCCAATAAATAAATACATACACCTTTTACGCCAATTAAACACCCATAAAAATAACTAAGTTGTAAAATGTTTCGTAGGAGTGTTGGGTTAAAGAAGTCGTAGAGCTTTGTCCGTCATTACTCTTGCGGTAACCAAGTGGACTGATGATTAATCCGCGGACTATTACGATTTTCATCATCTTGTCTGCGTACTCTCTGGCACTATGAAAATGCACACGCGTAAAGAAGAAGCCCGCTGAGGACGAATTTATTTGGAAACAAACTTTTGGAATTTCATGCAATTTTGGGACCGCTGCCAATTCTTAACTTAATCTTGTCCGTAGGCTGTCAGTTGTCTTAACACTTCAACATCAGACAGAATGTACTGCCACAACCTGGTCCTTTTTGTATTTTTGTATTCCCTCACGCTACTGATGATGATGTGCCTGCCACCAGCCTCAGCGCAGAAGTCGAATGGTCCTCGGGTAAGTCCGTGCTTAACGCCGCTCTCCACCGCATGTGTTCAGCTGCGCATATTCACGTATTTGTCATTCGGATAACTTCAGTGCGTCATTCAAAGCTGTCAGTGTGACACATAACGTGCTTATACTGTGTCAAAGCCATTGCATTATTTTAAAACAATGCTTCCTGATACAGTTGTTTTCATTTATTTAAATATCTGCTTCAATATACAATGCCATTGCACTAAATATATACAGTAACAATGCATCATGCAATGCTCATACAATACTTGTTTGTTTTACAAATATCAGTTTTAGGAAGGATTTTCTTGACAAACTGGAATGCAGAAATAACCCACTGAAAATTGTACAGCTTCTTTTTGCTGCCTTATATGGTGACACTGAATTAAAATATACCTTAATATATTACATTTTCTATAAAGATGAACTTTCATTCTAGAATGCATAATACCCCAACATCAGAGCATCTTTTAGTGATTCAGCTGAATAGTTGGGTTTTGCTTGCTGCGGCACATTGTCAGTGAGACTTGGGTACACCCATTGACCTTTTGTCATAAAGGTCTTTTGCTTCCTGTGCACCCCTCTGTGCCCATAGAAAAGAGGACCGTTGCCTTTCCAATACAGCATTTCATACGATTTCAACAAAGACAACTGTGTGGAGTATTTCTTTCTGCGGCTGAATCAGTTTGCAGACAATGTTGAATAGTAGAGCTATGATGTCTTTTAAAGAATGATCCTCTCAGAAAATGCAAATACATCTGTCTGGATGTCTATACGGGAGAAAAAATGTATCAAGGTGATTAACTGTTTGCCTTAATAGCCTTGTTTTAGTAGTAAAGTTTAAACAAATAGCAATTAATGCAACTTACTTGAGTGACTGATAACACTAACAAGTCAAAGCATAAAAACTTGCCCCAGAAATCGAATTGCCGCAGCATTCTTTTATTTCCTCAAGTATTTGAGCAATTTAGACAGAAGAATGGTTTGTCAAAATTGCCTCTTGTGGTAAATGTCCATTCAGTTGTGCACTGAGACCATTGAGATTGACCACTGAGAGTACAAATCAGAAAGAGAGTAGAATAGAGAAATTTGTGGATGCTGCTGAGGTATTGTCATACTTGTGGTTGGAGGGGGTGGTCAGTATAAAAGTCTATGATACACACACACACATCAAATCTAAAAATGTGTTCATCTTCAAAAGTGAACAGAGTGAAGTTGAATTTGAATTGTTTTGCTGAGAAAAGTCTTAACAGCAAGATCAAAAATCACATTGTTGTCTTCAGGAAATATTTTCAGAACCAGTTAATCTGCAAGGAACACATTGGACCTCGTAGAGATATATAACTAGATTTTAAAAGAGTATTAAAATAAATTCCTTGGAAATTCAAATAATCGACGGTTCATAAAGTCACATCACACACATTTAGCAATCTACATTTATTTCTTAATTATGGATTAGAAACAATTGTGACAACGGGGCCACTGTGAACATAAACACTTCTATACTGTGTTTCTGCATGATTAATAAAAAAAATGAAGTTCACTGAATAAATTGTGCTTGCTATGAAACAAGACTCTGGCTGCTGAGAAGAACTGAAAAGCATTAATCGTTGTCATTATTTTATTTTATTCTATTTTTTCCTTTTAATGATTTTGCTCCTTCTCCATACTTATGTAGCCATGTTCTCATTTACTTTCCCTTAACTCTCCCTGACTTTTATCTCCTGTGATATAATATCTGCTTACTTATTTTATTTTGACAAGAACTCTATAGATTGAAATGTACTGTAATAGTAGCTGTAGAGAGTGTGTGTGCATGTGTGATTTCTTGTGCTCAACAGCATTAAACAGTGTAGAAATATCTCCGCAATGTTTAAACATCCTTCATCATCCTCATCTAATCATTACAGGAGGCCAGAAATGTTGTGTTAAAAAAGCTATTTAAAAAATCTAAAGTGAAATGCTTCAAAAGTTATACTCCCTTCTGTGCCTCATTTGTAAAAACTTATCTCTGAATGCTGTCAGCTCCAAGAACCCAAAGTTTCATGAGGAGGTATGGCTAGAAGACATATTTGGGCCAATAACAGGATCAAGCTCTTTCCTCAAAGCCAATTGGGTGATTGGGTTTATTAAAAAAAAGAAAGAGAGAAAGGAAGCATCTCTTGACAGTGGAGGAATTTTAGGTTTCCTTTTCCACATTTAACATGAATTTAGCACACTTTTCCAGTCACAGTAATTCTGAGTTCTTCGACCTGGCCAATTCTGGCATGCCGCAGACTTAGAAGATAATATTTTCTGAGGATTTAATTCTGTCAGCATGTAGCGATGCGTCTGAGCGCAGTGAATATACCAACTGTCAGTAGGCATTATTTTGACAATTAATCTTAAGATCTTTTGGTTAAAGGTTATGTTTATATATTTTCTACTAGCATGACTAAATGGAATTGAAGAAAAAAAAAATAATAATGATAATAAACAAATTTCCCCCCTAAAAAAACAGATAGTCCCGCCCCTAAACTCTAATTGGTTGAGCCAATATTGCTGTGCAGTGAATCAACCTTTGGTGTTGTCAGTGTATTTTAACATCGAACAAATTATGCACTTCGCTTTTAAACAGTTCCTGTGCAAAGGTCACTGGGAACTTTAACTGTTAACAGTCTGACAAACTTGATCCTCATGGTAGCCTGACATCAGCATGGATTTTAAAAAGACAAAACAGAAATAAAACTACACAGTATGCAACACATTGTCAGTGTAGTTTAATAGCAAAGTAGGTCACGTTATTAGTATTAAAAACGGTAATGAATTTGACTAAGTTACGGTATGTTGTTATTATTGTCTTTTTATTACAAACACAATGTGTAAAAAAGGCCAAAAAACCTTAATTAATTGAAAGTTATATGATACTGTCACGTGTATGTTCCCGTTTAGTTCCTGTTTTCCTTATTTGGTCCTTCCAGTCCTCGTTGTATGAATTTGGTTCCAGCTGTGTTTGTTTAATTAGTTAATTTGCTCCCAGGTGTGTCCCATTGGTGTCTGTGTATTTATAGTGAGTCCTGTTCTGAGTTTCTTTGTCCGGAATTGTTTATGTCCCCTTCTTGTGCTACGTGTGATTCCCTGAAGAGAATATTAAACCCCTTTGTTTTGTACTCCTAGTCTCCTTGTTCCTCGCTCTGTGCTCCTCACAGTAGCGACCCGTGACAGAATTCCGGACCACACAAAAAGTGAGCGGCGACTTTTCCTCGCTTTTTGTTTTCCTTGTTTTCCCCGCGGCAATGGAAATTGCCGCTCGGTTCTCCACCTTAGCTCGCCTAGATCTCCCCTTTGTCGAGTATTCCTGGGAGTTCTGCATGCCCTCGATGACCTCCCAGACACCACGAGACTGAGCTGGAGGGAAGGAATCCTCCGGTGTTCCGGTGTTCATGAGGTGTTCATGAGGCCCCAGTGTCGTTTCCAGCCCCAGTGCCTGCTCCTCGTAAGCGCCTTCCAGAGCTCGCTCCAGTGTCGGCTCCAGCCCCAGAGCTCGCTCCAGTGCCAGCTCCTCGAAAGCGCTTTGCTGTGCCTGCTCCTCCAGAGCATCCTCCAGTGCCAGCACCACGTAAGCGCTACCCTGAACCCCAGTTCAGCCCAGGAAGGGCTCCTGTTCCCGAGTATAGCCCATGGAGGGCTCCTGTTCCCGAGTATAGCCCACGGAGGGCTCCTGATCCCGAGTTAAGCCCAGGGAAAGCCCAGGGCTGATCCCCAGTCAAGCCCAGGGAGGGCTCCAGCCCCAGAGCTCGCTCCAGTGTCGGCTCTCGGCTCCGAGCTTGCTCCAATGCCCGCACCTCGTAAGCGCTTTCTAGAGCGCCATCTAGTGCCCGCTCCTCCAGAGCGCCCCCCAGGATTCCTAGATTTCCCCAAGAAACTTTTTTGGGGGGGGGGGCATATACCTGTGGCCGAGCCAGCTAAGGCCACGGAGGATACGCCATGGCCTCCTGAGTCCCCTGCTCCGCCATGGCTCCCTGATCCGCCCCGGAGGCTCTCCTTGTCTCCACCCTGTTCCAGTCCTGCACCAGCCTCCAGGGAGCCCGCCCCCCCTCCCTGATGGTACTGTTACGGCGCTGGACGCGCCGTCCGGGAGGGGTGCGATCTGTCACGTGTATGTTCCCGTTTAGTTCCTGTTTTCCTTATTTGGTCCTTTCTGTTTATGTCCCCTCCTTGTGCTACGTGTGATTCCCTGAAGAGAATATTAAACCCCTTTGTTTTGTATGCCTGGTCTCCTGGTCTCCTCGTTCCTCGCTGCGTCCTCCTCACAGTAGCACAGTGGCAGAATTCCGGAACACACAAAAAGTGAGCGGCGACTTTTCCTCGC